AGTAAGATAATCTTTTGCCTTTATAACTGCTAAAATTCTACGATACATGCTATCAACTAAAGTATTTAAAGTTTCCAATTTAATTAAACTCCATTCTTCTTTTAAAGCCATTATCAATTCAGATTTGTTTTTAGGTTGTTTAGGTCTTGCATAAACCTGTTTTTCTAAAATATCCCATAAATGTTTAATGAGATTTAAATCTGAACTTTGTGTTGACCATAAAAATAATTCAATTGCTTTTTCTTCTTTCCATTTTAATATTTTTTTTGTTCTATATAAAGGTGCATTATCATCTTGAAAAATATACAAAGGCATAATTAATAAATTCATTATAAATGGTTAAAGATAATTTTCAAGAATTTCTAAATATTTTTGATCATTAATAATACCCAAAACTTCAATTAACTGCCCAAGCATATTTCTTGTAAAATATCTTCACATCATTATCCCATTATTTGATTTTACAGTTGATAAAAGACAATTTTTATCATATTTTTCTTTTGGTTATCTTCAAATCTATTTATATATATTACTTTCAAAAATTAAATATCAAAATTTATTACTTCAAATTACCAATTCCTATTTATTAATCCAATTTTTTTTATCTTTACAAAATATTAATCTATTTTTTCTATTTTGTTTTGAGATTAAAGGTTTTCTAATTCCAACATGACTATGAAAACCTTGTTCATAAAGAGTATGGCAAATAGTTTTAGTACTAACAGTAGTATCCATAACTGTATTAAATTGTTTTGTAATTTGTTCAGCTGTTTGATGATGATTACTTTTGGTGATTTTAACAACATGCCTGGTTGTACGAGCATTCAAGGTTTTTGAATGGTCTGATCAAGTAGCAACAGTAGTTTTTCCATATTTTTTATATGCATTAATTATATTTGCAACTGTAATTAAAGGATGATTCAAAGTTTTGGCAATACTTGTTATAGAAGAACCATTTTTAAAAAGACTAATAATTTCTTCACATTTGAAATTTGTTAATTGATGATGACATTGTAAAGACATTATTTTTAATTTATTCAAAGTTGAAAATCTTAGCTTTCTAAATAAACTATTTAACTTTAATTTATCTCTATATTCGGTGAGCAATTTTAATTCAAATCCGGATAAAAATTAGAAAAAAATCTCGTGTTAATCATTTCTACTTAAACTTTTGTCCACCCACTGTACACAGTCTATACAATATTAGAGATAACAGTAATTATAAATTGAATTATATTTCAAATTTATGATTGAACGATGTAACCATTGTGATACATGAGTAAGAGTTTGTAACACATTAAAAAATACCCCAGGAATTCACACGACAATTATCAAATAGGATGACGGACATAACAATAACAATGGTGATGAATTATTTATATAGAAGGAAAAATCCGATTTTATTCAAGTGAAACCAGTTAAATTCGGCGTCGTGTGAGAATGGAATAAATCCTTTTTTACATTAATTAAAATTATACGACTAAAAAAACAATCATGTCAAACCTTGATAGTTTAAGCTAAATGATGGTTCTTTTTTATGGCAAATAAACATACAGATAAATAATAATGTAAGTTTGAATACAATGACAAATACCTCCCAACACATGTCAAGGGAATAAGAAACAAAGAAGTAATCCTATACAATATTGATATTTTTTTTTTTGGTTTTTTTTTGGTGTTTACAAAATTAATCAAAAAATAACAACGAAGAACTTGATCTTTTTCGAAGCGATCCGAAC